TTCATCGTTTTGGAAAGCACCTTTCACTACTGACTCATGCCCTCATGGCTAATGCCTACCTTCTTGTACCCCCTGTGCTGAACCCTATAGTCTATACTGTGAAGACCAAGGAGATACGAAAGAAAATCATCCAAATATTTGTTCAAAGCAAGATTACTGCAGAGGGTTAAGTTCTGCCAGTTTGAGAGAGAAGGAAATCTATTCTGTAAAGGTTCAATTATGACTATGAGAAATAAAGGTTTATATTTTTCTTGTTTTCTGTGTGATTTGAATTGGACAAAAAGATTTCTCTGCTGGGGAGCCTGGGAGGCTCAATGGGTTAAGCCTCTGCCTTTGGCTCAGGTTATAATCTCAGGGTCTTGAGATAGAGCCCCGCATCGGGCTTTCTGCTCAGGGGGCAGGCTGCTTCCCCCACCCCTGCCTAGTTGTGATCTCTCTCCCTGTCAAATAAATAAATAAAATCTTAAAAAAAAAAGAGAGAGATTTCCCTGCTCTCAGAGCATGCTTTCCTTTTCCTGTGCCAAAATGTTCTTTGCTTAGTATAGGAAGAGTGACATTTATAGGAACTGTTCAGTGTACTGTCCTATAGCCCTGCATTTTTGGCATACAACAGCTGAAGGCAGGGAATATTGTTAATTCAATTTTTAAATAATCTTCTGAACACAAATAGGCCATGAGTTCAATACCTTTTAAATTAAAGCTCACCAAATTAATTTAACATTCTCACTCAAGAATTAGGAATGACCTCCATCTGCTTAGAAGGGGAGAAATGAACTATACTCATTAAATAATAAGAGAACACCTGGGGATAATACATTATTAAAACATGAATCAGAAAAATGATCAAATTTTAGGATTACAAATATAAATGTGTACAATGGAGCAGGGGCCAACTATGTTATATAACTTGAGATCGAAAGATTAAGGGTAAAGTTTAGCTTTTCCATGTGTGACATTGGGTATTCTCTTACCTGGGAATCCAGTGTTGTTATGAAATTAAGTTTAATCATATGAGTACAACTATTGGTAAAATGAGGTTCTGTGCAATTATAAGGAGTGTCTAAGAATATTGGAGAAAAGGGAATAAGAGAACTTGTATTTGTAGACTGCCCACTAAGCAAAAAGACACAGTGCCAGAGCCTTTTACATGTTATTTTATTTGGTATTACAGCATCCCTTTGAGGGAAAGTGTCATGCCCTGTCTGTTACCTGTCTGTGATGAGGCAAGTAAGGAAAGGGAGAAAATTTGAAAATTTTTTATAACAATTTGACTTTGCAGTGCCATGAAAGCACATGGTTTTGTATATAATACAATAAAATTGTATGGGTGCAATTTCTTTTTCCTGGTCTGAGTGGGTAGAATGTGGGGTTTCCTAGGAAGGTAAACAGGGTGTACTTGGAGTGTGATTGTGGCTTCTGGTGTGATGAGGGGAGGAAGAACAGGTCCAGTTGGAGGGGCAGGGAGAGAATGGGCTGGGTTGAAGTGAATTAAGAAAAAAAAGCTCAAAATTAATTTACCACATACAATTTGCAAAATAGTGATTTAGTAGAAAAAAATAAGATTCATCTTTTATCCTTAAGATAGATATATCCTATGTGTTTGAATTAGACATATGGCTACATAATAATTCAAATTAAATTTTTCTATGACAACTTATTTTAAGATATAGTTAAACATGTAGTTTGACATATTGTCTCCTGTGTTGTTTTCTTCCTCCTTAGAAAGTTTCTTTTCTCATTCTACTCCATAATTCGACCAAAAAACTGTATCCTACTTTTGCAAGAGGACCTAACCAGACTGATTATTGCGGGTGTTGATGACACACACAAATCAAAGAAAGAATCAAGGACTGAGTTTCTGAATTACGTGTCCGTATTTTTTGAATGTAGTATAAATTGAGCATGTTTATACCTTTAAAGAAAGAACTAGAATGTGGTTACTGTGGGAAAGAGCAAGAGTTAAAGATTCTACGGTAATTGAGGTGTATAAAAAAACTCCACAAGAGTGGGAACACCTGGATGGTTCAGTTGGTTAAGTGTCCGACTCTTGATTTCAGGTCAGGTCATGATCTCAGGGTTGTGAGATGGAGCCCTACACTGAGCTCCATATTCTGCTTGAGATCTCTTTCTCCTTCTGCCCCTCCCCCTCTATGTGCTGTCTCTCTCTCTCTCCTCTCTCTCTCTCACTCTCTCTCTGTCTCAAATAAATAAATAAATAAATCTTTAAAAAAGGACTCCACATAGAGATTATGCAAGGGCAATTAAGAATGAACAATTAGATCACGAGGGAGAGAAGAGGGAGAGAGAGAGATCCATTGGGTTGTATTTTAAAGCCATTAGCGTGAATGTCATCTTAGCAGAAGAGATTTTCTGAGGTAGTAGAGTGACATGGGGGAAACTGAGAAATACCCACATCCTGTGGGAGACGAAGAAGTGAAAGCAGGTGAAGAAACAGGAGGTAGCAGTAGGACATGTGAGATGTCATGAAAACAGCGAAGAGATTAAAAAGCAGGGAATGGTAAATATCTGTAATTTGCCCAAATAATTTAAACTGAGGGAGGGTTGAGGTGGAAAATACTTGATTTGTTAGAAAGAGATTGGAGCCAAGGAAAACATACCTTCCATATATTAATGGGCACAAAAGCCAAACTGTAGGAGCCAGAGGTGGGATTGCACAATGAATATGTGGAGTATGTGAGTCGATTGCCGGTAAAGAATTTAGACTTTTGATCTTGCCACTTCATGGCCCCACCAGAGAATCAAAGACTAATGGTGTTCAAAGGGCACTTACAGCTAATTCCCTCTTTAATCACAGTATGTGAACTTTTTAAAGACCTCTCATGATAGTTCTCTTGTATCCTTAATCTGGAGTGGTAGTTTTCAAGTTTTTGGTTGTATATCTGTATAAGGAAAAAAGAAAAAAGGACACTCCCTAATATATTTATATTTTATATTTATTTATTGAATAATTGTATACAGTAACACATTAAGAAAAATAAACGTTTTTGAAGACTGAGATAATTTAAATACAAATCAAAGTTATATATTTTTTTTTCTCCTTGTAGGCTAACTGATTATAAAGTGTCCTTTATGGGATTCATGTTTTTCATTTAGATAGTATCGATACTGAGGCCTTGGCTGATATTTGCCTTCTATACCAACCAACCATTTTCAAGTAATTCCCATTGTTAACTTCCATCTTGGCAAGATGAACTTCTTCCATAAGGTTTTGACAGTATTGATTACTAGTTTATCTCTCATGCAGCTGTGTCTTAGAATCACTGCTTCATTCCCTCCTCATGGAATTTGCTTGCAAGCCTAGGAAACCCTGAGACATGGATTAAATTTCACTTTACAGGCTTTAGAATCAACAGATCCAAATTTAAATCTAGTTGTGACACTTAAAAACTGTTTAACTTGAGCAAGTTACTTAACTACTCTAAAACTTATTTCCCTATGTGTAAAATGTTGCTAACACCTACTCTCAAAGATTGTTGCAAGGATATTAAGATATATAAAGGCAGGGGCACCTAGGTAGTTCAGTTAGCTCAGCATCCAGCTCTTGATTTCAGCTCAGGTCATGATCTCAGTGTTGAGAGCTTAAGCCTTATGTGGGGATCCTCAGTGTGTAGTCTTGCTTGGGATTCTTTCTCTCTCTCTTTTCCTCTGCCCCATCCCCCTGCTTTTCTTGCTCTCTTAATAAATAAAATCTTCTTTAAAAAAGGTATTTAAAGGCAAATAGCATTATCCATTACTATTAATAAATGTGATACTGAAGTGTAATACCTACTTTACTTGTATATATATTTCTTTTCAGAGAACTGTGCCAAGGATTAAGCAGTAAATTAGTACATTTTCCTCCGTATTTCCAGGTCTAGCATCATGACTAGCATTTCATTAGGGTTAAATGCATATTCATTGAAGGAACAAGTAATCCTCCCAGCAAATTCATTGTTTCATGATTAATAAAATACTTAAAACAGGCACCAGCATCAATGCAAAGACACATTGCATTTGACATACTCATCCTCAACACATGTGTTTACTGCTTTCTTTTTTAAAAAAAATTTATTTAAATTCAATTTAATTAACGTAGAGTATACTATTAGTTTCAGGGGTAACATTTACATATTCATCAGTAGCATAAAACACCCAGTGCTCATTACATCCAGTACCCTCCTTAATGTCCATCACCCAGTTACCCCATCTCCCTACCCACCACACTCACTGCTTTCTTAAACTTTTTCCCAGTGCTGAAAGTTTTCACTAGTCCTCATAAAATGCCCAGGAGTAATTTTACTTGGTCAAGTTTTGTTGGATCCTCTAGTACACAGCAAAATATACTTTACTCATACTGGGTCAAAAGAGTAAAGACAAAACACCCATTATTCTACTAAGCATGTGGCAGAAAACTAGGACTACTACAAATCTGTAAAGAAGTGATATTCCTTAAAATAAAATGAGTAAATTAAGTAACCACAGATGTGTCTGTTTTAATTTTGTCATTGGTACTCTTTACTCCATAAATATCAAAACTTAAATGCTATTTGATTTTGTAACAGTTTCCTTTGTTTTATTTTAAAGAAAAAACAAAACAAAACAATATCTCAGAGAACCAACCCTTCAGTAGTGCTGTTGGGAATCCAGAATCCTTCTCTATGTAAATATTATTTAACTGATAATTAAAGAAAGAATATTACTTCATGTTATGTGAGTAAATACCCATAAGTGTTATCTAGATAAGCAGGTGATAATTTTCATTACTGATGCTCATCTCTAGTTTAAAAGAAGAAAATTATAGTTTCATTAAATTAGATTTTGTATGTGATACCAGATATCGAAATGTGTACTTTTCAAAATGGAGTATATACAGAACTAGAATGACCAGTGTTGTATCGTCACCCACAAGCCTTGCCCACCCTTGCATTTTACTAGATGTACATAATTTGGCTGCATTGAAACTGCTGAAACTGCTGCACCTTATACTTGACTCCATTTCCCTAGGTCCTGTTCATTTTCCTCTGGAATATGTTTATGATCTGCCTTCGTATCTGCTTGGTCTTCACACTATAGACAATGGGATTGAGTACAGGGGGGAGTAACAGATAGATATTGGCCATGAGTGTGTGGACTACTGGTGACAAACGCTTTCCAAATCTGTGGATCATGGTGACACCAATGAGAGGAATATAGAAGAGTAGCACAGCACAGATGTGAGAGAGGCAGGTGTTAAGGGCTTTGAGCCTTTCATCTCTGGAAGCAATGCCCAGCACAATCTTTAGGATGAGCACATAAGAAAAGAGAATGATGAGGGCATCCAGCCCCAATGTGAAGATGACTATGATGAGTCCATAGAGACTGTTAATGCGGGTGCTGGCACAGGCTAGCCGCATTGCATCTTGGTGGAGACAGTATGAATGAGACAAGACATTGGAACGGCAAAAAAGTAACCACTTTATAAGGAAGGGAACAGGGAAGACTACACAGACTGCCCGGATGATCTTTCCAATGATGCCATAGGTGAGGATAGAAGCATAGCGTAATGGGTCTTGGATGGCCACAAATCTGTCAAAGGCCATGGACACTAACACTCCTGATTCTACCACTCCAAGTCCATGGATGAAAAACATCTGTGTAATGCACGCATCAAAGGGAATCTCAGGGGGCATTAAACCAGAAGATGCTGAGCATGGAGGGCAAGGTGGACACGGAGAGACTAACATCAGTGAGAGCCAAGATGGAGAGGAAGTAGTACATAGGCTCATGGAGACTCTCATCTACCTTGATGACAACCAAAATGGTACCACTTCCCAGGAGAGTTAGTGTGTAGAGAAATCCCAGGGGAAAGGCCATCCATGCATTTTTATCTGGCATCCCAGGGATACCTGTTAAAATGAAACTGTGATGGTTGGCCTGTGATGCATTTGAGTTCATTGTCATGTTGTCACTGTTGGGGGAAACTGGATTCTCCCACTTGGCTTGTAGCTCCTAAATTGAAAATATATTTTCATAGAAGATAGGTAAATGGTTTTATGAATATAGAAGAGAAACAGCGGGGGGGGGCAGTTATGTTGAAAACAGAGTCTAGGAGGTTTTTGTATCACTTTGTCCCTTTGCTTCCGAGATAATCACATAAGATGAAGCAGCAGCACCCAAGGGCTTAATAGTGTAAAGCATTTTGCTAAATAATCAAAAAACCCACTAAACTCACACCACTACTACCACACAAATACCTACACACAATTCCACTGCCATCACAAGCCCATATTCATACAAATCTGTGTGTATATTCACACACATATAGTCTTATATGCTCACGTATATATAGTATACATATATGTGTGTGTATTTTTCCACATGCCTTTGCATCTGTGTCACTGTATTTGCAATGGCCAACATTTGTAAATAACACATTAGTGATAAAACTCTTCAAATTAATATTTAATCTTCATAAATTTTAATAATTTATAATTTTCCATAACCTCATTTTTTAAAAAAAAAATTTTTGAATTTTATTTTTTCAGTGTTCCAAGATTCATCGCATAACTTCATTTTAAAGTAGCAAGGAACCCGTAATAAAGGTGGCCCAGAAAGAACCACACATAGAATATGAGAGTAGCCACTTACAGGATTTTTAATTTGAGAGTCACCTAATGTACCGGAAACTTGAGGTCATTCTTAAAACCTCTTCCTTCATCAAACCAACGTTTAACCAATTTCACACTTGCCTCCAAAACATATGAAATAAGTATCCCCTCTCTGTCTTTTGTACAGTCAATACATAGTATAACCCATTTCTCCCAGGCTCCCTGATTATCGTCCATCTTGTAGTGCCCATGCCAGTAATTCTTCATTCTGAAGCCTGAATAAACTTTTTGGATTTGGAGTATGATTTATTCATCACAAGCAAAGGCTCCTTTAAGGGCTTATATTGTACCTAGAACAGAGTCTCAAATCTTTACCTTTGCCCTCAAGATAACAGCACAATTCAGCTCCTACTCCTATCTACTGCTCCCGCACCAACTCACATCCTATCTCTCCCCTTTGGTCTCTTCAGTCCAGCCAGAGTTGCAGTGTTTAAGTGCCTGGATCCCACTGAGATATTTTCTGATACAGGATTTCCACATATTTTTTTTACACTTTTCTTCACCTCTCAAACAGTTCCTCTTTGCCTATCAAAGCCTTTCTATCCTTCCCAAGTAACCCTTTTCCAAGTTCTCAGAGTGATTTAAGAGTCCTTAAGTCATAACTATGTTGTTTTCACATTCTGGGCTTTTCCTTCTCCTAAGTGGAAATAGTTAAATATTGCATGAGTATTTGTTTAATACCCACCTTGCCTGCTAGAAGTTAAACTCCCGAGAGAAAAGAATAGTTGTATGCTCATCACTTAATAGACCACATATTAAGCATATATTAGTATCTGTTTAAATGAAGGAATAAAATAATATGTGTTGTTGTGTTAATGTGTTAAATGAAGGAATGAAAAAATAAATGAATTAATGTGGGTGATTGAATATCATTTTTTTCTTTCAGAAGTCTTACAAATTCTCAAACTCCTCCCTGATCTTTTGCATGTGGGTTGGGAATCATTAACCAAGAGAAAAATCTTTTTCTAAAATAGCACAGATTAAAAAAACAAAACAAAACAAAAAAAAACCTTAAATGAGGAGCCTTTGAAAGATATCATGGTGTCTTTGTTCTCTCCTAGGTGCCTCTTATGGGAAAGGAGAAAGAAAAATCTCAAGAACTTGCCATATGCACATGACCAGGTTGGCTTCTCTGCTCCTTCCTCCTGTGTTGCTGTGAGTTGAGGAATTGCTGTTTGGGAGACAGTACTATGAAAAAGTTTTCTTTTGTTTTGTGTTCAGATTCTGATCTCTTGGACATTGAGGAATCCTTGAGAGATAGTGTGGTCCACTTACAAAGGTTGTGTTATGTGCTGCAAACAAACTCCAAGTCTCCCTCACAATATATTAGAATGCTCAGATCTAAACAAAGCACTTTGCGTTGTAACCCTTTAGCTGCTCCTTGAGGAAGGGGCTTTTTAAATTCTTTCCATGTTAAGGGAGAGTCCTTCACATGTTTGGGTCTGCTGATCCCTCATCTCAGGCAATTCTGATGGTTTTCACTTGGGAAGAACCAGTTCACTCATTCCACATGGATGTTTTTCTGGGAAAGACTTGAAAAATATTTGATATTGTTGAAGTCCCAGTTGTTCTATGGAAATAATGAGTCTTGTTTTCCAGATTCTTGTTTCCAGTGCTTTTGACTGTTTTTCTTTATCCAAATGTGTTTTACCTCATCTTCTTTTTTCCTCATTCCTATCTCTACTCTCCTTTCTCTTTTTCATTGTCTCTAACGTTCAGCACCCTCTTTTTCTAGCCCCCAGTTCCTGTACTTCCATCTGATCTTCTTTTCATTCTTTCCATGTACTAGGTTCTCCCCTGTGGTATATGTCTTCTTCTGTCCCTAATAACAACATGTTTAATCATTTTTTCCACCTTTTCTTACCTAGACTCTTGTCATCTGCTCTTATCATTTCCCTCACTAGAATTTCAATGATGATTTAATGAAATAATGGACATAAATAATTCCACACAGTGCTTGCCATGTAGAAGGCATGTAAAAATATTTTAAGATTAATTTATTCCCTGTAGCAACCTCTGTGCTTCAGTTCAGAATTAATCTGGCTTCCTTCCTTTTACTGAGCTTAGCAAACAGAGCACTTATGAAGACTTCTCAAACCTCTGGGGGTGTCTGGAACTATCACAACTCTATAACAATTTCACAACTCCTCTGAAAACATCCCTCAGGGGTGTTGTTAGCCTCTGGGCTATTCTGTCATGATTTCCTTAAGGAGTCCAAACCCTTCCTTCATCTGTCAAACTGTCCTTTCTTTTGCTAACAAATCTCAAAAATTTTTTTCATTTTATTTGCACTCTGTCAGCCAAGTTTGAAGAAGAAACTTCTTCTCTCTTACACACACATGCATACATATTATATAAAAAATACTTGTATATGTAATAAATATATATTAAATATGTAAATAAATATAAATATATAAAAAACAATTTGTCGGGCACCTGGGTGGCTCAGTGGGTTAAGCTGCTGCCTTCGGCTCAGGTCATGATCTCAGGGTCCTGGAATCGAGTCCCACATTGGGCTCTCTGCTCGGCAGGGGGCCTTCTTCCCTTCCTCTCTCTCTGCCTGCTTCTCTGCCTACTTGTGATCTCTGTCTGTCAAATAAATAAATAAAATCTTTAAAAACAAAACAAAACAAAACAATTTTTCTCATGTTGAACCACTAAATAAGTTCTAGGATTCCGGCCGGATGTTGATCCAGGTCTTCTAACTCCAAAACCAGTCTCAGTTTCAATGATGACATAGTGTTGTGATTTACCCTGAAATAGGGCTGGAGTCTACTGTTGTTCTGGAATGGAGAGAAGGGTTGCCTGACTCTCCATCAGAAACATAGAGAACAAAGTTCTCTGAATTTGTTGTACTCTTTGATTTCCTGAGATGTTATTTAAATCTATTAAATGTAACTTCTTTAATTTGTTTTAATGAATTTTTCTGTAATGATACTTTTTCATTGTTGAGGTAATTCTCTAAATTATAGAAACAGCTAGTTATTCCATCAATGTGTGCTTTTGTGTGTTAGGTCCTTAAATTATCCACAGACCCTATCCATCAACTCTTCATGCCCCTTTTGATCTCATTTATTTTCCTTCATAGGCATATTTACATATAACAGCAGAAAACAAATGCCAGATATAAATAATTCTTATGATGATGCTTTTTTCCCAGGCACATTAGAGAATGTATTATAGAAGTTTGTTTTATTGTATTTTTTTATTTTATTGCATTTTTGATTGCTAAACCCATTTTTTTCCCAATATGTTTTACAACCTATAGGAGACCACCTATTCAAAAAACATTAAGAACCAGTGCTTTATGATAAGTGTTTCTGTATATTATTACATAAGAGTTTATGACTATATTTAGAAATCTATGAATGTCTATATATTTATTAGTTTTACATGATCCTACATGTGATATGTGTGTATGTATAATTTCTATAGATGAGTTTTTATTCTTTTTAAACTATCTTTAAGCATCCCAAACCATTAAGGGTAAGGAGTTAACAGACAAAGTAAGTCTTTGCCCTTAAGGATTTTCAAGTTTGTGAGAGTGCTAATGCTTTCCAATCTCTTACAAGTACTTTTATAAGCAGAAATACACACACACACAAAGTGCTTGTTGCAAACTTTCTGAGTCTTTTAACTGGTTACTTAACTCCTCAAACCACCATCAAGGAGTCTTTTTATGTAATGGAAGTTTTAAGACTGTTTTGGGATAATAGTTTCACAATTATATAAATTTACTAAAACTCATCAAATTGTATCCTTAAAATGGATCAATTCTATGATTTATAAATCATACCATAACAAAGTAAAACAAATAAAAGAGCAAATTTTAAAAAATCATAAGGATACTATTGCTCTATTCTACAAGAGGTCATGGTAACCTTGCTGGCATGATAGAAGTGAAGATGAAGGGAATTTGAAGTATGTGAAATATATTTTGGTTTAGATTCAATAGTCCTTGGTAAGGGATTAAATATAAAAGAGAAAGTAAGAAAAGATCTGGGTAGATTGTGGTATGGCTAGTGTGATTTATTAAAATTAACTATGAGCACATAGAAAGAAATTTTGTTTTTGTTTTACAGTATTCACTATACTGAATACTTTCCTTAAAAGAAAACTATTTCCTTTTCCTTCCTTAAAAGGAAATTTTAAGTTTCCTATTTGATATCCACATGGAATGATCAAGTAGGAATTGGTCTGGAGCTCAAGACAGAATTCAGGCCTGAAGATATGCTTTTGAGGGTAATCGAAATATAGAGAGATTAAATCAATAGGATTTGATAATATCATTCA